AGCCATGCTGGCTGGGGAATTCTGAGAGTTGAAGTCCACCCATCTTAAAGTTGCTAAGGTTGAGGAACCCTGGCTTAGAGCCTCTATTGAACCGTCCCCACATGGTGCCCAGGGGTATCCTCTTAGGCACCAAAGCAGGCTGCATCCAGCCTGGCTAAGGTCAAGGCCCTGCAAAATTTCAATACAGTATTGTGATGGATGATAGACAGGAGGCTGGCACAGATGCTTTTGCAAGAATCCCCTGAAATGGTAAGGCTTGAAACTAGGTTTAAACTGGTCTAAAGGTCAATGTCCCAGATCCGTTGCTTGAGAGCCCTTCTGGCATGTTCCAGGCTTCATGAGCAGAGGTGGTCCATCAAGAAACCCAAAGCGTGGGCTTTGTCAGTAGCTTTCTTAAGCCACGTTGATTTGAAGGGGCCAAGGAGAACAAGAGAACATAGTTTATGGCCCCTAGTTCCTGCCATCTTTTTCCCCCCCATTTTCGGCAAAAATACAGTCTAAAAGATGAAAGAGCAGCCCATCTTTGGGTTGATAGTGATGAATTCTCTGCCTAGAAGCCCCCAACTGATTATGCATTGGAAACACAAATGTCAACTTCATCATGGATGCATAGGATAATGAGATGAGCATGTGCTGCCCTCTGTTGGATAGAATTGCAACGGCATTAAATGGCACCTGCAATTGGGTAAGCTTTTTCCAGGAGACAGAGAGGCAGATGGGGAGAGCAGGAGTTCTCACGTGAGCACAGCTGCAAATGGGTGTTTTTTTTGACAGAGCGCTGATCTGTCAAAAACCTAGCCTGAGGCCAGCGGCTACCATGGAATGTTTTCCTTCCTGAGATTGCAAGCTGCGAGAACGATAAAGCGCCACAGAACAGGGATTGCTGTTGCTAGAAAAAATGGCAGGAAGTCTGACTAATAGGACATGAACTGGCCAGGAAGAAATGCCAGGGCCCTTGCACATCTGATCCCTGTAACATTTTCATTTGCAAAAAATCAGCCAGATAATGTGTGTTGTAGGCAGGGTGGGGGAGAAATAATTGGGTTGCAACCACTTCCCATTTTAATTCCTAAGGATGCACCCAGAACTGTGCAGAATAACATCAGATGGGTGTGTTGGTTCTGCTCCAATTTGATCCAGTGCCTTAATTCCAAATATCAATTTGGTTGGAAACAAAAAAAAGTTTTTACACTGCCAGATCAACTCAGACACATTTGATTTGATTCCACACCTTGATGGTCCTATTCAGTTTGAAGATTGAAAGATTCATAGCTTTGAATAATAGCTTGACTCTTTGATTAAAAGCTTCAAACTGATTTTGAGATTCAAATTGAGTCAGATTCAAATGGGTGTTCCTGCTTAATTTGGAAACTTGATCTGATTCAGGGATTCAGCTGAACTGGCTTCAAACTTCATGTCCAGTTCAAAGATTCAAATGCAGCAGTGCTTAAAAGTTTGTGAACCCTTTCGAATTCTCAATAGGTGTGCATAAATATGAGCTAAAATGTGATCTGTTCTCCACACAAGTCCTAAAACCAGATAAAGAGAATCCAATTAAACAAATGAGTCAAAAACATTACAGTATACTTGTTTATTTATCTATTGAGGAAAGTGGTCCAAGTTACATAACCCTACATTTGATGCTCAAGGTGAGTGCTTTGATTTACAGATGCTTTCCTCCTCCCTCCCTCCCTCCCTTCCTCCCCTTCATTTGCTGAAGTAACTCTAGGCTGCATTCAGGTTAATAAAAATAGCCAGGCAGGCCAGGGAGCCTGGTATGTATCAAAGGAGAAGTTGATAGGTGAATTGGAGCCATATTTGGGATTTCAAGCTTAGCAAGATGACCAGTCAGAAGTTAGATGCAGATCTGCCAATTTTTTTAACATCCTCGTGGCAGGCAGAGGTCAAGAGCTTTTCCCATAAATGAATTTCCTATAATTGGTTCTGCACCATCCTTAGATCTTAAATTTGTGGGAAATCTTTTAAGGCCGTATATTCTATTTCCATATTTTTGCAGGAGATTTGGAGCTGGAACATCTCCAAAGATGATTGTCCAGCCTCTGCTTGAAGATGTATAGCAAGGGAGAACCCTTATTCTCTGCCCCACTATGGAACTGGTCTTGCCATTGAGAAGGCTGTCATATTGCCTAACCAATATGTGGTCTTCTGAGTAGATATGCAGAGACAATCTTGCCTTGAAGGACAGCTTCAGAGCAGGGGGACAACATCTCAATAGCTTCCACTGATCTTGAAAGAAGCTAAGCTGGGCCAGATTGGAAGAGAGATCTTTAGGATATCTCAGCATTAGAGGGTAAGCAGGCTATCCTAGGCAGTTGAAAAAACATGCTGGAAGAAACCATGTTGTGGATTTTGCCAAGAAGCCCACATGAAACCACCAGGGCTGACTCAAGGTCATCTACGTTTCCAGAAGACAGTGGAAAACAAATCTTGTCCCTTTATAATTCACAATGCCCTCATTTTATTCTTCTCCAAGTTAAACATATCCAGTTTCTTCAACTTTTCCTGAAAAGGCTTGCTTTCCATACAAATAAGACTCCTGAGACCAAATCAGGTCAAAAGCTGATAAAGTTCAAAATCCTGGTCCAACAAAAGTTAATCACATGTCCATGAATACGAGGACATGCTGGGGACACCAGGACATGTTGCATTGATGCTGTTTAGCAGTCTGTTACTTGTAAGTGAATTCACAGATTCTACTAAGGCATGGTTTGTTTCAATCATGGTTTGTTGAATAAGCCACAGTGGCTGAGTTCATATAACATAGGAACATACCATGAGGGTGAGCTATTTGTACTGCAGTTCACCACACTGAAACTATACAGTCACCTTATGGTTGAGTCCAAGGTGCAGATCTAGAGATACTTAATCTGTTTATTGGATGAATCCATCTTCTGGATTTGTACAATATATTGAACCATAAACTAGCTAAAAGGGCTAGATACACAAAATCCATCTTCTGGATTTGTACAATATATTGAACCATAAACTAGCTAAAAGGGCTAGATACACAAAATCCATCTTCTGGATTTGTACAATATATTGAACCATAA